AATCACACGTCAGTGGCAACTTTTTCTCAAACTCTATTAATTTTACCTGCACTGGCTCCTGTACAATCATTGTTTACACGGCAGACTCGGTCATATAAGAATAATCTCAAACGTTTCAAGAAAATTTAATGAAGAAAATCCAAAGTCGAATGACCGCTATGTATAAAAATTTCTTAGGAGTCCATCTTTGCTCCGATTCTTTTGAAGTGAAAACCTGACTTCACAACAAAGGTTTACCAACATTAGAGAGATGCTAATTGCATAAAAGTTGACATATTCATACAAGAGTTATTATGTTCTTTGATATTATAAAATTATTTTAGTTAACTAATATCGGAAAAACAAATAATATCATAAGTCAAAAATAATAATCAATATCAAAATTATAAACGATATTAATAACATATAATTAATCACAAAATTATATTTATGTTGGTAATAAAAATTTCAAGATGAATACGAATATACATATTTAAGAATAAAAATACAATATATTACAAATATATATTACATTTATATATTTCATAAATAATTATGAATAAAAAGATTTAAAGCTAAAATTTAAAACTAAAATGAAATATTTATTTATATTAACTGAAAATAAATAAAATAAAAATATATATTTTTATTTTTATTAACATAAAATTAAATTAATTTTTAAATTATATATAAATACATAATTTTTTAAATTATAAATAATTAGATATAAATTTAATAATAGTATTTAAATAGTATTAAGTTCCGTGATTTTTTGATTGCAAGAAAAATATAAACAAATTTGAAGATTGAAAAAAATCTCAAAAAATATTTGATAGAATACGTTCAACAATATAAAAAAAATTCGATCCAAAAGATTAATTCATCGTAATAAAGTTTATGAATTTGAAGAAATTGTTATAAAAAAAATGGAAATGTAAAAATAAATGATTTAAATAAGATAAAATAATCTACTAATAAATATAAATATAAACAAAATTTATCAGATATTCCATTTTGAGTAAAAATTATGGTAGAAAGAACTGAAAAAATACATCTTAGAAACATAAAAAAAATATCTATAATTTATTAAACGAATATGAATTATGTAATAAAAAAAGTATTAAAATTAAAAAAGTTTTTAATGAGATGTAAATAAATTTATTTAATAAACAAGAAAAAATAAATTTTTTTTTAAAAAACTTTAATATGAATCATTATAATATTACAATATTATATAATATATCCATGACGAAATAATGCATTAATCTTATAGAAATAGTATAATATATAGAATATATAGAATATATAGAATAAAAATAGTATAATTAAAGAAATAAATTCATGAAATTGAATTAATGAACAAAAAATACTATTCAAATGTAACTATAGAAGAAAAAAAGAATATGTTTTTGCAATTAAATATAAATATATTAATATATCAAATCATACATGTATTATAATATCAACATGTATTCATTCAATTTTTTATATTAGGAAAATAATTATACTTTAATATTTTTAATTAAATATAAAAAAATATTTCGTCTTATTTTAAAATTTTTTCTATTAATCGATTATTAAAATATATAAATATAATATATATTGTATTTTTATTTTTAATATTTATATTCATTTTCCCGCCAAATTTCATTACCAACGTAAATATACATTCATTTTTTTATAAATATAATATAAATATAAATTTTAATAAAATAATATTTCATTTCTTCAATGTGTTATAAAATCACAAGAAAAAATTAAATTTTCATTATCAATATAATTTATATTATATTTATACAATATAATGTCATATGTTTTTAATTTAATATATTGTTTAAAATTTATTTATTAAAACACAAAAAAATAATAAAGTTTTTATCATTTATTACATACATATTTAAATATTTATGCAAATTTTTAGGATATAGGAAATTATAAAATATAAAATTATTAATATTAATATCAAGAAAAAATGTTTATATTTATTATAAATACATTCATTATATATTCTGATATACTTACTTTATTCTTATGTTTTTTTCTTAAAAAAAATCTTCGATATTATATAATATAACACAAACATAAAATTTTGAAAATTTAAATAATTTGTCATGGTTGGTAACAAATCAAAATTTGAAAAAAAAAATTTACTGTTAACTGAAAAAATATAAAATAAAATATTAATTTTAAAATACATTAGAGAATGTAACAATGTTATATCTCTATATAAAAATTTATATGCTAATGTTTGATAAATATTAATAAAAAACTAAATCAATGAATTCAAAGTAATATATTTATATGTGTATAAGTTACTAATTTGAGCAATAAAAATTGCATTTTGCAATATTTTATTTATCAAAATAATATCATAAAAAGATTTAATAAACATTTTATATAAATACATCTTTGAAATTATATATATTTTGAAAGAGAAAAATATTGATTTTATTAAAATATTAATAAATTTGTCATACTAAATATTATATAAACTATATTTTAATAATTTTTTTGCAAATTTATATATATAATAATTATGTAAGTACTTATTTTTATTTTCATATAAGGATGAAGATAAAAAGGATATAAAAGGATAATACAAATATTATTTTACAGATTTTTATAAAACAAAAATTATGTAAAATTATTTTATAAAGATGTATTATTTATTATGTCCTTGTTTTGAAACAATTCTTCGTTTGATGTCAAAAATCAAATTAAAGTATGTTTGCATTTGTATTGGTCTTATTACAGTACTTGATTTTTTTGGAGCATTCACACATTTATTTGAAATTACATATGACTCAAATTTTGTTTATCCATATGAAGGTGATGTACATGAATTTGTAAATGCATTACGACATAATGAAAAACCTAGTATTGAACCTATAAATGAATATAAATATAAATTTTTACTGAATAATCAACAAAAATGTGTAGATGCTGCACATAAAATTTTTCATGTTGTGTACATAGTAAAATCTGCAATAGAAAATTTTGAAAGAAGATCAGCAATTAGAAATTCCTGGGGTTTTGAGAAAAGATTTTTTGATGTACCTTCGAGAACAATCTTTATGTTAGGTATATATCCACATAATGATGAACTTCAAGCAAAGGTAAAAATTGAAGCTGCAAAATATAAAGATATCATACAAGCAGATTTTATAGAATCATATTACAATAATACATACAAAACTATGATGAGTTTTAAATGGTTAGTAAAATATTGCTCTAATTCAAAATTTTATATGTTTGTTGATGATGATATATATGTTTCTGTAAAAAATGTTTTAAGATTTATAAGAAATCCGACTAATTATCCTGATTATTTAAAAGAACCTAAAAAATTTGATATTCATAAAAGAGAAATTAAAAGTAATGATGAAAAAAAAGAATTAAATAATGATATTATTACACAAAAAAATATACATATTCTTGATAAAAAGAATTTATTTGTTTATGAAAAATTAAAAAAAACAGTTTTCAGGGATCATATTATATATGGATTAAAACAAGATACTTATAATAAAACTCTAAAAATTAATTATAATAAAGAAAATAATACAAAATTAAAATTTATTCAGGAAGATAATCTAAAAAATGAATTTATATTGAATAGAATAAAAAAACAAATTTTTGATTTTGAACTTCCAGAAGATATTAGATTATATGCAGGATTTGTATTTATATCTTCACCTCATCGTCATAAATCTTCTAAATGGTATGTTTCTCTTAGTGAATACCCATACCATTTATGGCCACCATATGTTACAGCTGGTGCATATATACTGTCTAAAGAAGCTCTTTTAGATATGTATTATACTAGTTTTTATACTAAGCATTTCAAATTTGATGATATTTTTTTAGGCTTAGTTGCAAAAAAAGCAAATATAGAACCTTTTCATTGTGAAGAATTTCATTTTTACAAAAAAGATTATACAAAATTTAATTATAAATATGTAATAACTTCCCATGGATATGGTAATTCAACTGAATTATTGAATATATGGAATGAACAAAAAGCTCTTGGTAATGCCTAAATTTTCAATTGTATTCAAAATATTTTTATTAAATGTTTTAAATGTGAATTAAATGTTTAAATACATAAAAAATAAGTGATACAAAATGATATTTAAAATGATAAAATGATATTTAAAGTGATATTTAAAATATTATTAAATAATGGAATCAAGATCTTATTTATTTTTATTTTCTATGATATTTATTTAATATTTGTATAATCTTTAATTAATGATTTAAAATATTATTCTTGTTATTGTTATTATTATGCATTAGTTATTATTGGTCATCAGTAAAAATACATATGTTTAAAAATAATATTTAATATTTAATACTATTAAATATGTATAAATTTTAAAACTATATTATAAACTTTAAAATGAATTAATAATGAATTAATATATTATAAAATATTGGAAATTAAATAAACTCTAATATATATATTCTATAAAATTAATTTATTATAAAATATATTTAGAAATAGTTTCGAAAATAGATATACATAGATCAGTCTTTATGTACACAATAAGTTATTATGTGACAAATAATCAATTATGTTTTTATATAAACACAAAATTTATCACTAATATTTGAATAATTCAATAATTATTGCAATAATTATTTATGTAATATATAATATATAAACAAATATATAATAATATATAAAAATTATTATCTCATATATTTCATTAACAAGAAAAAATTATTTGATAAAACCATCCTTATGTAAAAAATGAAAATATAATTATAAAATTACAGATTATAAAAAAATAAAACATAGTATTATATAAATAAAAAATTTAAAAATTTTAGAAACTATATTGCAAATGTTTAAAATATTTACAATTTTATATTTATTATTATAAAATTGTTATAATAACTTCTTCTCTGTTTACAGCTACAAACTTAATAAGATACATGTGACCTTAAATATATGATTAAAAAATTTTTTTTTAATTTATAAATTCAATATTTCCCATTTTAATTTTTATTTTGCATTATTTTTATTACTGACTTTGTTGTTTATCCATATTAGTTTTAAGTAATGTTTGATCTAAATTTGTAGCTTCTCTCTTGATCATATTTAATAGAAGTTGTGAACTTTCCAAAATCTGCAATTGTAATAAATTTATATAAATTTTTATAA